GGGCGCGGGAAGGGACCAGAGCGCGCGCGGACCTCGGCGCGGAAGGAGCCCTTCTCGAGCAGGTGCTGCCTGGGCCCGGGCCGGGGACTGGCGAGGCGGAAGGCGCGCTTCCCCCCGGCCACGAGGCTGGGCCTGGCAGCTGCGCGGCTGGGACACCCTGGGTGGGGGCCCTGCGGCGAGCGCGCAGAGCTGCGCAGCACGTGGCGGGGACCGCCTGGGGCTCGCTCGGGGAGGGCACCCTGCGAGAGTGGGGACCCGAGCGGCCCCCGGGTCTAAGCCCGGCTGTGGCCGCGCTGACCTCCGCCAGGGGCGGGCGAGTGAATGGCTAATCGCGATCGATTTGGGGAGGGACTGAGCGGCGGCTGCGTTGGCAGGAGGGGAGGGCGGCGGGGGGTGGGGGGGAACGACGGAGGACGCGGATGGGAGGTGGGGAGCTGTCTCTTTAGTCCTGCCTTTTACTGGTGGAACTGGTGTCCCCCGAGGCACCTCTCCCTGGGTGCATCCTCATTTAGTCCCCCAGAGAGGACCCTTGTTCATTCAGAGGACAAGGATACACATCCGGGCGGGGACAGCTGTCAGTGGACAAGGCAGCCCCTCTAACCGCCTTGGGCCTCCCCCCAGCCTCATGACTGCCCCTTTGTCCACTCTTGGTAACCTCCACAGCCTCTTGTCGCTTCTCTCTATCCTGTGCTGACCCGCCGGTGATGAGTGTATGCATGTGTGTAAAATAGGCGGTGGGCGGAGAGGGATGTGCCCTAAGATTCACATTTAGGTCCCAGGTTGGTGATGACTTTGACCCTCACCTACTTTTCTTCCTCAGGCAGGTGAGCCACAGCGCCTATACCTCCCAGTCTATCTCTGAATAGCCCAGAAGCCAGCTTTTTACCTCCCCTTCCCACCCCAGAAACAGATTAGCATAAGCTGCACTCAGTAGCTGTGTGACCTTAGGCAAGTAACTCCATCTCTCTGAACCTCGGCCACCCGTGGTTGAGGGAAAAGAGAAGGAGCCGGACAGTTAGTGGCTGGCTCCCTCGAGGATGACCCCAAGGGGATCCTGGTCAGCGAAGTCTGATGTTAGCACCAGGGCATTTCTACAAGCCCTAGGGTGCAGGGAGCTGTGGGGCCTGGTACTCAATTGAGTGGCTACTTTTACAGCCATATTTTGGGCAGGTCAAGGCACGACTGGAGGGCCGGACACCTGAATCTCTGAGCGGGATATCGGATCCCTGGTCGTGGCTGGGCAAAAGGGAGACAAGAACAAAACATTTGGGCAGGTCTGCTGCATGTCCAGGGTTGAATCTGCCCAGTTTTCAGCCTGGAGCAAGCTGAGAGCAGAGCTGGCGGGTGGGAGGCGTAGCTAAAGGGCTTGAGAGGTCCAGAGAAAATACTTCTGAGGGGAAGGGGAGATGGTCTCTATAGGGTTTGAAACCTCACTTGGTCTTCATTCAAGAACCCTGCCTGGGGTGTGGGAGGGGAGGGACCAACCCAACCCTCTGAGGTGAGAAGCTGGGGGTTCCCCTCCCTGCTCCCTAATCGAAAGCCTGACTCCTAAGCATTTTCTGCCCACCCCATTCCCCTGCCCCCGCTGCACACCCAGCAGAGCCCCTCATTCCTAGTTCTTTAGAAAAGGTAGCTACTGTTCTATACTGCCCAATAGTTGTTGGAAGGAGGCATGAAAGGAGCATTGGCTCCCTTCTGGAGGTGGGTGGGTCTGTACCCCCATCCTGCCCTAGCCCTGGGCTGGGGGACTGAGGAAGACCCTTGGAGAGTCTGAAGTTTGTTGGGGATGTATGTGGGGGGAGGGATTCTCAGGCGGGTTGGGATAGCCTCTTTGGGTCGCAGGGGTTTCAAAGACAGAAAAGTCTGTCTCAGGCTGGGGCCCAAAACTCTGGCTGCCCCTGGGTCCACCCCCTACCCCACCCCCTTGCAGCTCCCCTGCTGATTGCCTTGGCCACTTATCTTCTAAGCCACAGAAGTGGCTGTTATCTCCTGGGCTGCTAGAGAACGGCAGGCCCCAGGAGTTCCGCCGAGCATGCCTCCTTGGTCCCTTGGTAATTCTGGACCCCCACCCATGAACCTATGCAGAAGGCCTGCAGCCCACGCCTGAGCACGGACCTGGTACCTGCCCCAGTCCTTCTGCTGACAAGCACAGGCATCTGGTGAGTGCTTGGTCAGGCCCGGGGAGGGCTCAGAACACCACCCCAAACGGCATGACTTGGCCCAGAGTTAGGCCAGCACGTGCTGGACGTGGGGGATGCCCCAGGACAGGCCTCCCGGGCTGCCTGCTATCCAGCGAGGGAGCTGTTTTATCTGCTGTGCCAGGGTGACTCTCCCTGAGGGACAGGGACACAGGGGTTAGAGGGTGGAGGAGTGGGGGGCTGGAACTTTGGGATTCTGCAGTCAACCAGACCTGTGTCCCCAGCCCTCCAGGATTCCCTTTAGGGCCTCTCTCTTAAAAGGGGAAGAAGTCAAAGGCCTGGGATTGAGTCAGAGGAACTGAGGTGGGGGGTGACCCTGGGGCAGGGGTCTCTGGGAGCCACTAGGCCAGGCGAAGCTGTGGGAGGACTGGGTCCCCACACCAATTGTGAAATATTTTCCTGGAAAACTGCTTTGGAAGTAGGAAGCCCTTGAGCAGTGCCTGGACTGAAGGGTGCTGGGGGAGGGTAGCTCCAAGAGGGACCAGCTCTTCAAAGCCCCCTCCAGCCATGGACCCAGGGCTCCCCTGGGAGGGACTGGGGAGGACTCTCCAGCAAGCCTCAGTCTTTATGGCCCTGCTGTGAATCCCGGCTGCACATGAGTTTTCTTGACTTGGGTCCCCACCCCACCCACTCACATACACACTCCCACACTTCCTCCTTGCCCTCTTTGTTCTGTCAGCCACACTCTACTCACCTCCTCCTGCCCCTCCTTCCATTGTTGTCGGTGCCCCTGACCCCTCTCCTCCTCCCACACTCCCACTCTCCCAGGTCCCAGGCACACACTGCTGAGCTGGGGCATAAAAATAGCAGTAGCAGCAGCCCGGCGGCGGGGAGCCAGGTAGAGCATGAGCTGCCCTGGCCTGCTGGGCCAGGGGCCCATAGGGGGTCAGGGAGCAGAGCCTGCCAGGTGGAGCAGCTGTGGGGCAGGGCCCAGACAACCTCTCTCTGCTTCTGCCCCCAGCAAGCCTCCAAGGGAGGGAGCACTCCGCCCCAAGACCCTGGACTCTCCATAACCATGACAACCAATCACCAGCCTCAAGACAGGTATTGGGGTGAGGGTGTTAACTAACTAACTAACTAACTAACGGGTCTCCCAGCCCACTGGGTGTGGTGTCCTTTAGAGTCTGGCTGCCACTGCTGACTAACGTTCTGACCAAGTAGTCATGACTGGGTCAGGGGTGGGGGCTGCTCTTGTGTGTGTGTGTGTACATGAGTGTACGTACACTCCTTCAGTGGGTGGATGGCAGTCCCTCCCTGGCCTGTCAATATTTCCACTCTTGCTCTCTAACCAGCCGGCCACTTCCGGCTCCTCTCGCCACCACTGAGAGAGGCTTGGCAACTCCTTGTATTTCCCAAGCACATCTGGAGGAGCTGCCCTCTCCCTCAGCTGCCCAGCACCTCACCTCAGCTGACCTTCCTCACCGTGTCCTTCACTCGCCCTTCCTCTAAGGCTCCCTTCCCCCACCCGGGGTGCTGCCAGAGCACCTTCAAGTTGGCCCCGCTATTGCCACTGGGCAAGCGTGTTTCAGAGAGAGGCTGACGCTTGATTCCAGGTCTCCAAGGGGTTAAGGGCTCGAGAAAGCGGAGAGCCTGGACTGTTCTTTGTCCACGCACACGGCTCACTGGTGCCCCCTTCCAGCACAGGCCACCCCATCACAGCCCCCCAAGCCTGCCCTGTCGGCCTCCCATGCCTTAGGGCCCAGAGTCAGGCGGCCACTGTCCTGGTACCTTGGGCAGGGAGCTGCATTTCTGTGGAGCTCATTTTGGATCTTAAAAGAGAGCCAAGGATCGCTGCCCCAGGGATGTTTGTGGAGGGAGAGAGGGTGTATGGAGAGGGAGTAAATACACGGCCCTTATTAGGCCCTCCTGTCCATAAGGGCCCTCCTGTCCATCCTCGGGCTGCCTGCCTGCCCGCCCACCCAGCCTGACCTCAACATCCCTCATCGCCTCGAGCTCATTTTTCTTTCCATCTCCACCCTCCCTGGTATGCTCACTTACAAAGGGCCTTCCTGGCCCTCTGCTCTGCGCTGTTTGACCCTTGCTGGGAGGGAGGTCCTCCCTTGTTTCTGGGCGCCTGTGAAGGTGGAGACCCTGAGGGAACTTGGGGGATTGCTTGCCGTGGCCCGCTCATGCAGGCCAGTTTGTGAGTGCCTTATGCAGAGCCCAGTCATCTAGGGAGAAGGTCTGGGGGTGGGGGGACGGGAGGGGGGGGGAATAGTGGGGAGGCAGCCGCAGGTGTATGTGGGGATGAAGGTGGGAGTCCAGGCCAGCGTCCTCCTTTCCCAGCCACCTGAGGCATCGCCTGCCTGCCTTACTAGCCCCAGAGCGGGCTGGAAGTTCCTTGACCTCAGAAATCCTCTTTTGAGGAGCCACAGGGTCCCTGCCCAGACACCATAATCAGTTCCAGCCTCCCTGGTGAGGGCAGAGGAGACACAGACACTTGCTGTTTGCTAACCGACCCCGGATGTGGGGTCATGCTGATTCCCAGCCTGCAGCATCCCCCCAGTCTTCCTGGGCTGAGAACCAAGGTCGTGTCGGCCATGCCATTTTGTCCTTGTCCCTGACCTGCCTGGTGCCCCTTTCCCTCCCTCTCCACGGCTCCCCTCCCCACACCAGCCCTCGATCCCAGTAAGCATACCTGTCGGAGGACACGTGTCTGGGGCCCATTGATACAGAGGTCTCTAGCCCAGCCTCCAGTCCCAATCAGAGGGGCACCTGGAGCAACGGAAGGTCAGGGAGGGTGAGTGGGAGAGGGCGTCACTTGGGTCTCCGTCCCTTCCCCCCCACCCAGGTACAAAGCTGTCTGGATCATCTTCTTCATGCTGGGTCTGGGGACGCTCCTCCCCTGGAACTTCTTCATGACGGCCATGCAGGTGAGGCCGAGCCCGGGCCGGAGGGGCGTGGCTGGCGGGCATGCAGGGCATGTCTTGGACCCACAGGCCCAAGGACACATGTCAACATTCCTCTCCTCGACTCCCACAGTATTTCAAAGACCGTCTGGAAAGACCGCAGAATGCATCCTTGGGCACTGCCCCCATGGCCAAGGGCATCCAGGCCTCCGCCATGCCCCCTGCACCCTCTTCCGAGGGGGCTTCTCTCAGCGACATCTTCAACAACGTCATGACCCTGTGTGCCATGCTGCCTCTGCTGCTCTTCACTTGCCTCAACTCCTTCCTGCATCAGAAGTGAGGCCGCCCGATACCCTGGCCGAGAGAGAGAGAGTTTGCAGAACAAATTGCTTTTCAGTAGTTACTGGTTCCATTTACCCTTCTTTTTGCCCCACACCTTTTGAACTTTATTTCTGGGCAAATGCTACCTATTGATGTGGTGTGGTTGTTTGTTCTAAGGATCATCGATCATTAACTAGGCTGACAGGTGAACCTCCGAGGTGCACTCAGTTCTCTGGTCTCAGGTTCAGAGGTTTCACACCAGGGTCCCTCAGACCAGTAAGCGTGGTCTTTTTTTTATGATTTTGAGGTTGGTTCCTCCCTCCAGGACCTCTCACTGTGATCCCTTCCGGCCGGTCTGCAGTGGTGGCTGGGCACCATCTAGTTCCGGTGGTCTCAGGCTCAGGAAGGCTGGGATGTGTGGACTCCTTGTTCCCATGCATTTGTATTTCCTTCCCTCTTACTTGCTGTGCATGGCGGGGCTCACGGTCACACTTTGGCTGCCCACTGGCAAATGTTTGTTTGTTTGTTTGTTTGTTTGTCGCCTGCTCTTGAGTCACAAAAGCATGGAGGTCAGTTTTGAGTTTACTTTTCCCACTCAGACCAGCATTTAGATCTGATGAATAAGGAAACTGGGAGGTTGTCGAGGGCTGCCACCTTCCCTCGTGCTGGCTTTTTATTTACTTTTTAATTTTAAATGAAGGAAAACATACTTTGCATAGTTCACAGCCCATCCCGTCTGAGCAGCGAGTTTCCCAGTCGTGCCCTCCCACCCTGTGGATGCGGCTCTTTTTTCTTGTTTGCCCCTCACTCTCCCTCCTTCCCCCACCGCTCCTCCCTACCCTGTCCCTCGTCACAGCCTGTAAAGTCTTTGGTTCCGGGTGGAAAGCCATTTTTCTTTTTGCTATGGTGTTTTTACATTCTATGACAATAATATCATGAAATAGGTCTCCTGACGAGGTTGACTAACTTTGCTGAGCGTCACGTCTTCTAACTTGGCTCACGTGGTGAGGTGCTTCACGATCTCATCTTGGGTTTTTTGGAGGTGCCTAATGCTCCATTGTGTGTCTCTCCCAGCGGTTGCCCCTCCAGTCCTTCCCCGATAGGGGAGTTTTGGGTGCTTCCGTCTTCTTGCTGTCAGAGAAATTGCTCCGATGAGCGTGGGTGTGCATGTCTCTGCTCCTGGTTTCTTCTGTGGCTCCAGAGTGGAGAGATGGCAGCGTCTTGCGGGCATGTAAGGAGGCACCCAGCTGTTTCCCATCGTGGCCGTACGGCGCTGCAGTCCTACCAGCAGCGTATGAGTATTCCAATCTCTCCGCGTCCTCTCTGGCAGTTGTGATTTTCTGGTGTTGATTATTATTTTTTTTTAATAATCATTTTATTAGGGGCTCATACAACTCTTCACAATCCGTACATACATCATCCGTGTCTAGCACATTGGTACATGTTGCCATCATCATTCTCACAACACCTGCTTTCTCCTTGAGCCCTTGGTGTCAGCTCCTCATTTTCCCCCTCCCTGAGCCCTTGATAATTTATAAATTATTATTATGTTACTGGTTTTGATTATTTTTTAGCACTGCCCCCCAAGTGTCTGTCAGGGTGAGGTGGAATCTCATCATTTTAATTTGCATTTCTCTTAGAGCTAATGGATTGCAAGCATTTCTTCCTGTGAGTTTCAGCTGGCTGGATGTCATCGTTAGTAAATTGTCTAATCATGCCTTGTGCCGTCTTTAATTGGATGGCGTGTGCTTTTCTTAATCAAGGTGTTGCTTTTTGCTGTAGATTTGTCCAATGAGCCCTGTATCAGATAGATCATTGCTGAATATTTACCCCCGGTCTGAGGGCTCTCTTCCCACTCCTTTGCTGAATTCGTTCTTTGGGTGCCCGTACGGGTGGTGCTCTTTTCAGAGGGGCTGTGTCTCCGGACTGTGCTCGCTCGTCGTTATGTTTGGTGACATGTTTGGGCCCTGGAGTTTGTCCCTGGTTTTTCTTGGATGATCGGTGGGGTTTCTGGCGAGGTCCTGGATCCACCGTGGGTTTGTTTTTGTACGCGGTGTGAGCTGTGGTCCGGTTCCGTTCCGTTGCAGGTGGAGATCCAGTTTTCCCAGCAGCACCTTCTAGAAAAGGCCGCTCTTCCGCATTTACTATGCTCCTTGCCCTTACCCAAAACCAGGCATCTGTAGGACACTCGGTGGTTGTTCTGAGACCCCGGTTGCTGTCCCCAAAGTAGGGCATCCAGCCTGGTCTTTGCGGACCTCCCTGCCTCCTGCGTTCCTCGGACTGGAGCCCCCTGGTTGACCGCCCGCCCTGCCCTCCTTGCAGGGTCCCCCAGACCGTGCGGATCCTGGGCAGCCTGGTGGCCATCCTGCTGGTGTTCGCGATGACGGCGGCCCTCGTGAAGACGCCCATGGATGCGCTACCCTTCTTCGTCTTCACCATGATCAAGATCATGCTCATCAACTGTAAGTCGGAACCAGCCTCCCCTACACCAGGCCACCGTTCTGTCAACCAGGGGCAGCCCCAAAGAAGCCCCATCTTTCTCCCAGGCGGGAAGGGACATCATGGACAGGCATGGACCAGGGTTTGGAATGGGAGCGGAGAGAAAGGCCACTCCGGGTCTGGACTCACTGGGGGGAAAGCAGGAACAACAGGAGGCTGCTTTACCTTAACCGACCAGCTGGCGTCCAGTGCACTGACTCGGGCAACCCCATGCGTGTCCCTTGGTGGTCAATCAGTGTCCTTGGCTGCTCGCTCACGAAACAGAGTCCCCCCAGAGAGCAGTTCCGCTCTGATACACACACGCCACCATGAGTTGAGGGCTGACCTGAGGGTATCTGGGCTGGTTTTCCCACAGACCCCAGCCCCATTCTCCCTCCTTGGCTGATGTCCGCCCTGTTCCCCCAGCGTTTGGTGCCATCCTGCAGGGCAGCTTGTTTGGGCTGGCTGGCCTCCTCCCTGCCAACTACACAACCCCCATCATGAGCGGCCAGGGCTTGGCGGGTTTCTTCGCCTCAATGGCCATGATCTGCGCCATTGCCAGTAAGTCCAGCTGCCCACCCGCCTCCTGCCCTGGCTTTTGTGGACAAGGGGGTGGCCCCTGGATCAGTACCCACACTGAAGACCCTGCCATCACCGCCCCCACCCTGCCTCAGGTGGCTCAGAGTTGTCGGAAAGTGCCTTTGGCTACTTCATCACCGCCTGTGTGGTCATCATCCTGAGCATCATCTGCTACCTGGTCCTGCCCCGGCTGGTGAGCACTGGACACAGAGTGCCCCAAAGTGGAAATGGGGAAGCAGGATTCCGGAGACCTCACCTCCAGATCTCTGTCCCTGTTCTTTTCCCTTTTGATAGGAATTCTACCGCTTCTACCACCAGCTGAAGCTCGAAGGGTCTGCGGAGCAGGATACCAAGCTGGGCCTCATCAGCAAAGGTCTGAGTAGCCCGGGTAAGCCGGGCTGAGGCCGGCCGAGGCTGGTGTGAGCAAAGATGGCAAGGATGAGTGCTCGAGCCAGTACAGGACACAAGGACAGGGAGGGCCACAGTAGGGCCTGGACAGGTGGTTGAAGCAATTTCAGGTTCTTAACAAAGCAGCGGGGCCTGAGGCTCCGGGGCGAGGTGTGGGCTGGGCGTAGGTGAGCCTGGGGGCTAGCTGAGGGGATGTGCTTCTAGCTAATCCCCGCCCTTTGGGGGAATGTTGCCTCTTGTCATCTCTCCCTGAGAATTGAAGCTCCCTCTACAACCTTTCCTCCCCCAGGAGAGATGCCACAGGCCAGCAAAGAGGAGCCCAGGACCTTAGCCCAAGGCTCTCAGCCCGCCCCCAGCAGCAGCCCCTCCATGAAAGCCATCCTCAGAAAAGTATGTGTGGCCCACTCCCCTCCTCCCTTTTTGCCCCAGGGCTTGGACGTGCGTGCGAGTGCACGTGCGTGCTGGTGCGCGTGTGTCTGTGTTTTGGGTGGCCCTCTTTTCTGCAGGGCCACCCCGAAACTACAGACGTGGGTGCGTCTCCGGCCTCTTACCAGATCTCAGGCCTGGCGTTCTCTGTCTGCTTCGTCTTCACCGTCACCATCGGGGTATTTCCCGCTGTGGCTTCCGATGTCAAGTCCAGCATTGCGGGCGACACTGATTGGGGTGAGGGCACCAGGGGCCCCCAGGGTAGGGCTGGGGACCAGAGAGCCTCTTCTCCCCAGCAAGACCGCCCTGGGTCTGTTTGCCCTTTCCTGGGCTGGGGAAACGGGGGTTGAGTGAGGGCCGGGACATGAGAGTATCCTGTAATCCCCTGACTTTTCCAGGAAAATACTTCATTCCGGTGTCCTGCTTCCTGACTTTCAATGTCTTCGACTGGCTGGGCCGGACCCTCACAGCCGTAGTCACGTGGGTAAATAGAGGGGACGGCCCTGGGGGGTGAAGGGGCAGGATCTCACCTTGAGGCCCAGGAAGGGAACCCGAGAAGGCAGGCGGGGAAGGGACTATTTGTGTCTTAAGATTGTAAGGTCTGCGGCTAGGTATACCACACACACAGGTGCGCACAGGTCTTGCTGAATCACTGCCTCGATTGACTTGTAGACCCGTGCCAGCACCCTCTGAAGGCTCCCCTGGGCCCCCTCCTCGTCAGTACCCCCTAAGGACAGCCAGACCCCGAGGTTTCCTTCTGCTCCTGGGCCTGGGTGTTCTCTTGGGGCTGAGTCCCAGCACTGCCTGGTATCCCCACACCCAGCCTGGAAAGGACAGCCGCTGGCTGCCGGGCCTGGTGGTGGCCCGGCTGGTGTTCGTGCCCCTGGTGCTCCTGTGCAACGTGCAGCCGCGCTACCACCTGCCCGTGATCTTCAAGCACGACGCCTGGTTCATCTTCCTGGTGGCCGCCTCGGCCTTCTCCAACGGCTACCTTGCCAGCCTCTGCATGTGCTTTGGGCCCAGGCGAGTGGAGCACTGCCCGCCCGGGGACCTCTGGGGGCGGGGCAGGGTCACACCCAGCAGAGACAAAAGGAGGCTGGAACGGAACCCCCAGGGAGAGGGGCTGGGTGGGGGGTGGGGGCAAGGTGCCCAGGCTTAGGTGGAAAGAGGTGCTCAGGATGAGGGACACTCGTGCTCCCCAAAGGGAAGGAGCTAGGTTCGGGTCAGGGGTGTAGGGTGGCCCACCGCACACTGGCGCTGAGGGCCAGCCGGCGGTGGCCACGCCTTCTCGCCCTCAGGAAAGTGAAGCCGGCGGAGGCAGAGACCGCGGGAGCCATCATGACCTTCTTTCTGTGCCTCGGCCTGGCCCTGGGAGCTGTCTTCTCCTTCCTGTTCCGGGCGATCGTGTGAGCACGGAAGGTCGGACAATAGGATTGCACTGCCCGCCTACCGCCAGCCACCTTCTGCCTGTTAGGGATGGGCAGAGGTGGGGGGTGGGGCTTTCTCTTCTAAAGGACCTCTGGCCCAGGAGGAGGGGCCCTGTAGGTTGACAGTGGGAAACCACAGTGGGCCTGGGGGCCAGAGTCAAGGGGTGTGGGGAGTAGTCTCTGCCTCAGCCCCTGCCCCCCCGCCATTGACATGGCTCCATCTGGCCCCCAATTGAGCAGGACCCCAGAGGCTCCTGGCTCAGTGGAGTGTGTCCACTACGTCTCCTTGGGTGTGTGTGCATAACCCTGCCCGAGCACCAGGGGCGACTGGGGACCAGGATTGACCATGCTATGGTCCGATTTGATCCATCGTCCTCCTGCCCTGTTCCCCATGCCTAGTTCCAACCCTTCACACACCCTGCCCAAATTGCCATTATACTGCCATCTTTTTATACTGGATAGAAACCTGGTGTCTTCAGAGACTGTATTAAATAAATAAACCTTTTTCTTTTTTCCCTCCATGGCTCCCTGCTGTCTGCCAGCCATGGCTTCATACCCTGAAGAAGGCAGAGGGCGAGTGGGCTGAGTGTGTGCGTGTAGTTTGAGCATAGCATGAGCTTAACCCAGCTGGGCCTGGGATCCCAGGTAGGCGGGGAGCCCTCTCGCCCTCAGAGGGGTTGCAGTGCCCCCTACTGGGGCCACAAAGGAGGGCCAGGCCTGGAGCCCAGACACTGACGCTCGCCCAGGCCAGGCTGGTGTTTCCTTGTGACTCCAGGCCTTCTGTTTTCTGCACCGCCACCCGCTGGGCTGCCTTCAGGCCCAGGGGGACCGGCCAGTGTGGGGTTCCCCCACTGTCGTCCTACCTCAGCCTCTGGCAGCACTCCCACACCATCAAGCAGGAAGAGGCTGAGGCCCAAGAGTTCTCCCTCCCTGGCACCCTGCCCTGACACGGACACTGAAACCCAGCCTGCCAGCCTGCCTGGGGAACAAGAGGTCTATGTGCCTGCCGCCACCGCCGTGAGGCTGAGTCCTCCCCGGCTCCCCACAGACTGGCCTTGGGAGGGTGGGAGTAGGTTGTGTGGGGCTGCGAGGGCGGCCGGGGCGGGGTCCTTTCTCAAGAATGACCTCTCTTCTGGAAGGGGAATGGTGGAGATACTTCCACGGAGCGGAGCGGCTCGCAAACTGCTGCAAAATAGCAGGCACCCCTGAGACGACGCCATCCCTCGCCGCGTTTGAATCCCTTCAAGGCTTTGGGCCTGCTTAAGGGAGTGGGCCCTCTTGAAGGGGCTTTGATGAGCTCCCCAACCCTCATAAGGTGGTGAAGAAAGCCGTTGGATGTGCGAATGAAGCCTGTGTGCTCGTGTGTCAGAGCAGGGCACACGACTGGATGTGGGTGCGGAATCAGATCATTCCTGTCCGCTCAGATTTGAAAGGGAGGCATGACTCCCCTCCCCCACAGCGTGTGGGAGTCACACTGTGAGAGCCCTTCCTCTTCCTTTGCCCTCAAGGCCTTGGTGGCTGAGGGGGTCCGGTGTTGGACTCCAGCCGCCCAGAGGGAGAAAGAGGAGGCTGTCTACTCCCGTCAAGATTAGTCCAGGAAACCCTAGGGAGAGGCTCTAGCCCATCCCGGAGGCTCCCTGTGATCCAGAATCGCCTGGGTCTGCTTTGTTTGGGGGTTGGTTTTTCCCCCTCGGCCTCCCACACTTCCTCATTGTACTCTCCACTCAGGGAATCCTCGTGGGTCCCATCCTCCCCGAGCCAGCCCTGACAGGAACACTGCTTCTGACCCACCCGGGTGCCTCCCAGGGTCAGGCCGCCTCCTGCCTAACCTCATGACTTCCTCCCTCCATCCCACACTGGGTGTCAACCTATTGTCGGAGTCTTCTGAACGCTACCCAAGCAGGGAGACCACCCTGGACTGCAGGGGCCCAAGCCCCAGGCCTGTGAGGTGGAGCTCAGACCCGCCCCCACCCCCTTCCTCTCCCCAGCCGTCCCTCCCCCAGGACCCTGGTTTTGATCATCAGTCCCAGTGGAGGCCATACTCAAGATGGGGGTGGGGTGCCAGTAGGGAAGCACTCAGAGCCAAGTGCTTACTCAGGACAGCTTCTTGCTCTCTGTAGCTGAGCCCTGCCCAGGGCCCTCTGGAGCAAGTCCTCCAACCCTATGGGTCCATGGGCCACCCCCCAACCCCCCAAGCTTTCTCATGCCATCACTCATGTTACCGCTGCACCACCATCCCACCGCTGTCCACCTTCCCATGCCTCACCTGCCCCACCCGCCTGCCCTATGTCCCAGGAAGCCAACCGGGGGACCCAATGGAACGACCCCATTAGGGTTCCACATAGTTTGTTTGCATGGCCCCACCCCCGCAAGGGTGCCCGCGCACCAGGCTTACATTATTAGCAAGCGGTCTGATGTTGGTGTGAGGAGGCCTGGCGGCACAGTGATGACGAGTTGGGTTGTTAACTGCAAGGTCAGCGGTTTGAAACCAGCAGCTCTGAGGGTGAACGACGAGACTGCCTAAACCCTTAACAGAGTTAACCGGTCTGTCCCATGAGGTTGCTAAGAGTCGGCATCAGCTCAAAGGCAGTGAGTTGTGTTTTTTATCCACGCTTGGTAGGAGCACGGCGGCCTGGT